TTCTTCATTGCTGTGACAAAACACTCTGACCACTACCAACTTGGGGAGGAAAGGGTTTATTTAGCTTACATATTCCAGGTCACAGTTCATCCAGGAGCCCAAGGTAGGAACTCAGGGCAGGAACCTGGAGGCAGGAGCTGAAGCACAGACCACTGAGGAATGCTGCTTACTGGCTTGCTCCCCTGGCCCCTGCTCAGCCTGCTTTCTTATGCAACACAGGCCCACCTGCCCAAAGGTGGCAGGACCCACAGTGGGCTGGGTCCTCCCACATCACTCATCAAGAAGACACCCCTCAGACATGGCCACAGGCCAGTCCAATAGAGGAAATTCCCCAACTGAAGCTCCCTCAACCCAGCTGTGTCAAGTTGACACTCAATCTATCCACCACATGTGTGAACCATATTTATCCACATAAGGGTTTTTTCTTGAAGTTTCATTGTTCTTTCTAAACAGGTCCACTATTCTAATTAAAATACAAATTTTAATAACATTGGTACTTTCTGAACACTAAGCATTGAGGTTTCTGTTTTTAATTCCACATAAGAAAAATCATTCCTTACTACTGAGATTTTTTTCAGTTTTTAAAAATATTTATTTGACAAGGTTAACTTGATGTAATGTACCTAATAGTAAATCACAGTACACTGCAAGGCTTAAGTCAAAGCCTCGGGATTTTATACAAACACCAAAACCAAACTATCAAGTATTAGTATTGCAACTCAAAATTTCTGCATTAACTTTTTAAAAAAGAGTTTAAGTTCACATGCCTTACAGGTGATCGAATGGAACTAGAATTTGGAAACATATCAAATATCTCCCTTTCAATTGTAGAAACAGTTCCTATATTGTTTTGCCAAAATGTATGTTTTTCAACATGCATCCAAACACCACTAAGTTTTAATTATACAAAATACTAGACTGCACCGTCACATCCTCATCCAAGCATAACTTGTGCTTTGCTCATTTTAGCCCCTCTATTCCATCCCAAAAATCCCCCCTTATTTCATGACATATTTATGAATACATATATTTAAATCTACACTGCACATGAAATAAAAATATTTTTCCTTCTGAATGTGATTATTTCACTTAGGATGACAACATCTAGTTCCATCCACTTCTCTTCAAATTTCACAGTTTAGTTTATCTTTATAGTTAAATAAGAGTCTCTTTTTCATAAATACCAGATTTTCTTTCTTTATTCATGTGTTTATAGATATCTAGACTTACTGTCCTATCTTGACTATCATGAATAGTGCTGCAATAATGATGAACATCTGGTATCTTTGTGCTGTGCTAAGATTCCTTCTGGTATATAAGAAGGTGTGGAATAGCTGGATCATGTGGTAATCCTATTTTTAATATTTGTGACAAACTTACTGATTGGATTCTACAGTGGTTGCACTGATCTACAATCACATCAGTGACGTGTAAGGGTTCCTTTTTCACACCCTGACCAGCATTTGCTACTGTTTTCCTTGATGACTCTCATTCTCACTACAGTAGGATAAATACTCGATATAGTTTAAATTTGCATTTCCCATATGGCTAGGATGCTGACCAGTTTTTCATATTTTTCATGTATACTTTTTTCATATATGTACTTCTTTTCAGAACTGTTCAATTTATTGCCCACTTACTGGCTGGATGATTTAGAGGTGTGTGTGTGTATGTGATTTTTATGTCATTTTTGTGTCATTTATGTAATCTTGATATTAATCCCCTGTCAGAAGTATAACTGGAAAAGATTCTCTTCCATTCTGTCTCTTCATTCTGGTGATTATTTCATTTGCTGTACAGAAGCTTTTTACTTTCATGAACACCATTTGTCAATTCTTGGGATTATTTCCTGTGCTATTAGAGTTCTTTTCAGAAAGTCCTTGTTTATGCCTATAACTTGAAGTGTTTCTCTCTACTTATTTCAAAGTTTCCAGTCTTCTATTAAATTTTTGAGCCATTTTGAATTTTATTTTTGTAAAGGATGAGGAATAGGGAACTATCATTTTTCTACATGTGGACATCCATTTTTTTGTTGTTGTTGAGGAGGCTATCTTTTCTTCTAGTGTATGTTTTGGGCACTTTTGTTGAAAATTAAGGGACTGAAGCTGTGTGTGTTTATTTCCTAGTTTATTTCTCTAGCTTATTCCATTACTCTTCATGTCTTATTAAGTGCCAGTACTGTGACACTTTTGTTACTATCACTCTATAGTATAATCTGAGATCAGATATTGTGATACTGCCAACACTACACTTTCTGCTTAGGATTGCTTTGTCTATTCAAGTTCCTCTATATACATTTTAGGATTTTTTTTCTATTTCTATGAAGAAAGTCATTGGAATTTTGATGAGGTTTACATTGAATCTCTAGATCACTTTCAGTAGTCAATTTTACAATATGAATTCTTCCATTCCATTTCTTTAAAAAGACTTCTTCAGTCTTTTAAAGTTTTCATTGTAGACATATTTCACTAACTTAATTAGGTTTATTCCTAGGATTTGAGCACTACTATGAAGAGGATTATTTGCCTGATTTCTTTTCTCAGGTATGTTTGTTATTAAATGTATTGCTATACAGAAAACCTGTGATTTTTTGCATATTAACATTGCCTCCTGCTACTTTGCTGAAAAATGTTCATCAGATGTGAGAGTTAAATAATTAAATGTTTGGGGTGTGGGGAAGGCAAGTCAGTGCTGGAGATTAAACAAAGTCCTTGGTCACAGGAGGCACATGTTCTACCGCTGAGCAATATATCCAATTCCAACTCTTGTGGGTCTTTTAAATATAAGATCTATCAACTGCCCAGCATGGTGGCACACACCTTTAATCATAGCACTGAGGAGGCAGAGGCAGGTTGAGCTCTGTGAGTTCAAGGCCAGCCTGGTCTACATAGTGAGTTCCAGGCCAGCTGGGGCTACAAGGTGACCCTATCTCAAAAAGACAATAAATAAATAATAAATAAATAAATAAATCGATCATCTGCAAATATTTGATTTATTCCTTTCTTATTTGTATAATTTTCCTTTCTTATTGCTGTGACTCGAATTTCAAGGACTATATTGAAAAGGAGTGTACAGAGTAAACACCTTTTTCTCCTAAATTTAGACAAAATTTTTTATTTTCCCCATTTAGTGTAATATTTACTATGTTTAAGATATAAAGCTTTTATTATTACACTACAATACATTCCTTCTGTTCCTGGTTTTGAACTTTTATCATAAAGGAATGTTGAATTTTCTCAAGATGT